CATAAGTCCATCTTTGCTATAAAAAAAAAAAGGGGGAAAAAATAATATATATTTATTATGAAAAAATGACATATCCATCATAGATAGAGATTGATGTCAAACTGCTTTGTTATTCCACTTCTCAGAGCTTGTAGCAGAAGTAAAAAGACTGAATCACCATCATTTCCGTGTAGGAGGACAGTGCCAGAGCGTGGAGTCAGACATGCCAAAGGTTCATGACTCTTTGTGTGCAGCCAGCCGAGAAAAGTTGTCTGGATCTCATCATCATTTTCCTCAAGCTGAACAAAAGAAAAAAAAATTGTCAACTATATGCATATATTAAAGCTGTACATCTTGTTACGGATCTGTACAAATGCAATCACAAAGTCGTGAGCCTCCTTTCCGGTGCCTACCAGAGATGTTAGAGGCTGTAGACGGATGTCGGAGGCTACTTTGACGACTGATTTCACGGGTTTAATTCTGACTGATGAATGAGGCTGGATGTTCAACTTGCAGGCCAGAGGCCGTGGTATCTGAGAAAAATAGAACAGATATTGAAGAATATACACAGTGCCTTGCAAAAGAATTTAAAATTTCATATATTGACGTGTTTTTTTTTAACTTTTAGATACAAAAAAAGCCCCACAAACCTATATGTCTTATTTGTATGTAATCTTGAGAATTGATCTAATACACCAAAACAAATTAATGCATTGCTAGGATGGATGGATGATCACTATGAATGCAGCTTCCCCGTAAAGGAGTATTCTACACAAAAGCAGCAAATGTGGAAGGAGTTGGATGGGTCACATGACCCTAAAGACGCAATAGTTTGGCTGAGAAAGGTGGTGAAGCATCACCCTGTTGGGAGTCGACAAAAACAAAGCTCTACAGAGATCATGAGGAACTAGGTGGGTTTAAATACAGAACAAGACTGCAAGAAAAACTAAAGGTCACAAAAGCTTAAGACTGCAGGTTAAGTTCACCTTCCAGCAGCTCAAGAAATCAAAATACACAGCGTTACAATAGATGGTTTAAATGACAAACCATCTATTGTGTGGTGGAAAAAACACACTAAATGCCCAGAATGAAATAATAAATATCTTAATCTTGTTAAACATGGGACCAAACTTCAGTGCCTCTCTGATTTCAAAACTGTATTTTGTTTAATTTTGATTCTATTGCAAAACTAATTAGCAGTCCAGCCCTACTATTCTGAAGGGAAAAAAATCCAGTCTCTAGATGTGCAAAGATACTAGAGAGAAATCCCCAAAGACCTGCAGTTAAAGCTGCTATAAAAGCTGGTTCTACAGTGTTGGACGTATTGCATGCAACATTTTCATTTATAACTTTGTAATGAAAAAAATTATAAATGATGCACTACTTAGTGCTGCTTGAATAAAATACATTAAGGTACATTATTTGATTGCAAAAGGATAAAGTTGAATAATTAACATAAAACTTAAGTCGTTTTAGACTCAGTGATACTCTGACCCCTATAAGTTTGGATAAATGTATATTTTCCTCACCCACACTCTTCCACTATGGATCTTCCCCTTGCTGTGACCTCTCTCCAACATCTCAGCTTCATGGCATACCACCCTGACCACAGTGGCCTCTTCCCCTTTTGCCTCCTCTCTTTGATTCATACCTCTATCATTTTCCCCTTCTCCATTCTTCCTTTTCTCTGTGGCCTGCTTTGATTTCTCTTTCGCTTCCTTCGGGGATAATACTTTAAAAAGACGACCATATGTCACAACAGATTGCCCTCCTCTAATTGTTGTGTTCAGACTAAGGCTCCAGGGAAAAATGTGAATAACTCCATTAGCAATGTGATTTATGGTACAAAGAGGATCCGGAGGAAAACCGCACACTCTGTAGATGGAGTCGGGAAAAATGACAGGGATGTTGGGTACAGGAGGATGTTCTTTAACTTGATAGTAAGAGCCCCTTATAACATGACGGAGCAAGCTCTTCAGGTCAGTAATGCCTCCCCGATGTTGACTGATGTCAGAACAGGGGATATTATCTGATATTGGTTTGGAGGCGGAAGACTGGCTGGCATCTGGCCGATCAAGGCTAGATCTTGTGCTGGCGTCATCAAGGTTGCCGATATCAGATCGGATCTTCGGAGATACCATGAGTTCTGTGAACTGCTCCAAACGTCCAAATGGTGCAAATGGAGAGATGGAAGCTGCGTTGAATTAAGATAGATGACAGGGTGCTTGTGAGTATTATCCAATGACAAAATATGACCGCATGGATATAAATGAACAGCCAGATTAACCATACCTATTCTAATGTAGATTACTGTTTGCCTATTCACCCAAACAGGAAACACGGCATGCTGGAAAACCACTCGGATCTGATCCAGAAGCTGCTGCTCCAATGTAGAACTGTGTAGCTCCTGGAAGGGTTAGTCACATGAAAGAGAGAACAAAATTTAACAAAAGATGACATGGATATACATTTAGATTAAGAAGAGCAACAGCTTACAATCAAAGAAAAATAAACATTTATTAAGTCCAGGAAAACTATATAAACCTAACCTAAATGTATGTGAAACCTTCATGTGACACTAAAGGGAGATTATGATCATTTTACATTTTTTAATAATGTATGTTGATAGTGGTATTTGTAAGAACATAGAGAGTGTTTAGAAAAGTGCTCAATAAGTCCAAGATGACTCTGGAAGGAGCTGCTGATATCAACAGGTCAAGTGGAAGAATCTGTCCTCAGGACAACTATTAGTCCATAAATGGGGCCCTTATGGGAGAGCTACAAGAATAATGTCATGGTTAAAAACTAGGCATCAGTTATCCATTTTAACTTCCCAAAATGCATGTAGTAGACAAGTAAATAAGACCCAAATTTGAACTTTTTAGCAAAATGCTAAATGGAGCAGAAAACCAGCACCATGTGTCCTGCTCCTGGTTAATGAGAACATAATGTCTTGGGGATGCCCAGGTGGGCCTACATTTATCAGAAGGCAGATTCAGCTAACTATAGGGGAATAAAAGGAAAGACAGTGGGGCTGAGGTCCAGTTCACTCTAAAAGAAGAGGCAGAGCTTAAATAAAGTTGATTAATGGGCCCAGTAAAGAATCTTTGGGAAAACTTGAAAGCTGATGTTTAAATATGCTATAAATTTCAAGTTAATTGTAATAAACGCACAGCCAGACGCACTTCAACATGATTCTAATGGGAAAAATGTTCCACTGTTGATTGTACTTCTGTAAGGCACTGCAGCTATTCTGAAGACTGAGATACAATGTTACCATCACTCACCAAGATCTCCCAGTCATCAGCTGACAGAGGCTCCACAAACACCTGACTTAAAGATGAAACTTGATGACATGCTTTAAGAAAAGCCTGAATGAAACAACAACATCAATTAAACAACAATAGGATCTGCTTTGACATCACTTTAATGTAACAAAGGATTTCTTTTCTTTTTGTGTGTCCTATGGTAAAAGTAAAACAGCAAAGCAAGAAACAAATAAACTCAACTTGTTCTCCGTCTTTCAGACCCAGTTTCTCTCCCAGTTGCCAGCACAGCTCAACGTTGTGGTCCTGTGGGTCGGAGGACACCCTGTTTCGGGTCCAGCTGAGAAAAACTGCAGGCCCATTGCCCCAGGAAAGCTCCAAGGCCTGATTCTAAAAAAGACAGAAAACATGTGTGCTACCCCTCGAACTAAGAATATAAGTGTAGGTAGAATATGGAATTGGAGGGTCCTACATGCTCCTCTTAGAAAGAAAATAAGAACAGGTTTCTACTATCACCTGATTTATGTTCTCACTCTGATAAAAACAACAAAAACTCCACTTTTTCTTATCAACAGGATATAAAACTAAAGAAAGCAAAAGAGTAACAACTTTTTCATGTAGAAAAAAAAAACATGTTTTTGTGTGGCTCCCCCTTTGATTGAAGAGGAAAGTTAACTTTTGAGGTATGTCTCTGTCAGTTTGATCTAAAATTTAGACTTTAAACTTAGATTTATTTGGTATACATGAGTGTATACAAAAATAAATTTCATTTAAAACAGCTCTAGATAATTGCATTTTTTTAAAGTGCAGCATTGAAAACAGTAATAAATACATTAAAAATAGTAATATAAACATATGACTGTATATTTACAGTTCTAACATTATTATAATTTTTAAATAACTTAAAAAAGATCCTTTTTTTTTTAATGTGTAAAAACTGACATTTTGCAGACAGTTCCAGTAAATTTCATATATGAGAGTAAAGGGGGTTAATATATTAATATAGATGAGTGCTAATTTTTTCAGATTTTGATTTGGTAATAAAAAAAAAAAAAAAAAAAGTAAAGTAAGTCTGATAAATTATTTGATTAAAAGTATATTTTAGGAGAACCTGATAAGAGGTTTGATACTATGCAACGAGATGAATTGTTGCGAGATTTGCGAATTCTCAAGCTACCGAAAAGATGTAGTTCAATTTGATTTCTAAACGCTATCAATCTGGTTCATGAAGATTTATGTCTTTACAGAGAAAGTGAAATAATTATTGATATTTAGGATAAGGATTCAGTTAAATTACCAACATTTAGTCTATTATTTAAGAAAATAACAAAACATACATATGGAAATAAAAATATCACGTTAGGCATATATAGACATAAAGAAAGAGTGACACTATTGACATTTTTAACTTTTTAAATGTAGTGGTTTAGCTAGGCTAACCTACCTCCTGTAAGGAAAGGTGCGATATCAACGTCAATGGCAGGTGAAGAAAGCAGTTTTTAGCGTTGTTAAAAACAACTCTTACAGCCTGAATGCCCTGACTACTAAACATTTTATTTACATTGCCAAAGTAGCTCTGTAAACGACAGAGAAGCTGCTCCAGCTACTTTGCAACGAGCTCTCAATCGATTCTAGTCAGACCAAACTAAACGACACTCGGTATGTTTTTCAAAATAAAAGGTTTGACAAAGGTCTTTAAAAAAAACACACGCGTCCGTTAATCCAAGTGTTATTTATTTTGAAGGCCACCGATCGGAAATGCATTGCACTACAAACATGGCTGCCCCGCTCAACAACAAACCGGACTGTTGGAGAAGCCCAGAAGTCTACAAACATCATGAACAGCAGAAGGTGTGCATTTCTCGACCGAAATACCGGGAAGGGAGAAAGGCTAAAGCGGTTAAGGTAATGACGCACGTTTAATACATAAATAACAAACTAAAAAGTGTTTTACAGATTGTATCGTTGCACCTACAGTTAATTTAAACAAGACTTTCCTTAAAACACAAGGGTTTTTATCTTACAAGACTAAACAAGTCTCAAGTACACCTGCAATGAACCCTTAATAGCAGCAACACAACTACACCTAAAGCGCATGGCTAGAATTACTTTAATGAGCAAAGGAAAACACATTATAAATGCAATATTTGCATGTATCGTGCAGTTGTTGCATGCTGCTACACTTTATAAATTGAAATGTCTATTTCACTGTTGTAAGCCGCTCATTTACTGATAAAAAATGTTTGCATCAAAATGTCATTTTTTACACACACTGTATATAAATTGACAATAAAGTTTGTTTAAGTCTAACATCTCTGGCAGTGATCATGTCCTGAAAAGAGATACAGCTAAAGACAAAACCTTCGAGCCCTGAGTAATTTCTATGAAAAAAAAGTTAATATCAGAGGCCTACATATAAAAAAAACCCTGAGCTGTTAAAAATAATAAAATATACTTTTGTCACATATAAAAATGGGAGGTGATTACACAGAAGAGGGGCATGCTTTCAGAAATCAGCAGTAAATACCCAGTTGTAACACATTTGTTTTGTTTTAACAGGTGTACACTGTGAATTTGGAATCCCGTTACCTGATGGTTCAAGGGGTTCCAGCCATCGGTGTGATGACGGAGCTGATCCAGCTGTGTGCGCTGTACGGCACTGTGGAGGAGTACCGACCCCTGGATGAATATCCCGCTGAGGAATTCACAGAGGTCTACCTTGTCAAGTTTCAAAGACTACCAAGTGCTAGGTATGCTATGTGGGACTTGTTGTCATGAGGGTTCTGTAATGAAGCCGAGGACAGCTGCTGAATGATTTTGATAAAATGGTGTTGTTTCAGGGCAGCAAAGCGTAACATGGATGAGAAGAGTTTCTACGGTAGTGTGCTGCATGTGTGCTACGTCCCAGAATATGAGACAGTAGAGGACACACGGCTGAAGCTGCAGGACAGGAGGAGTTTTATAGCAAGAGCCGCTCGGAATAGAGGTATCTCACTAAATGTATTTAAGTGAATAATTCAATTAATGTATACGTTATTTTTGCGTTTTTTCCCATATGGAATTTTTTTCTTTCTTATTCCAATAGCAAAAGAAAAAGAAAAGACAGATGCTGTTCAAGAGAGTCCTGCATCATCAGTGAAAATCCCCGCCCGACATGAGGAAACATTTGAAAATAAAAACACAAGAGATGCTTCAGCCCCGAGCCACTATTCAGAGTTTCCTCCGCTGCCATTGCCTCCCCAAGAACTCAAGAATTCATACAGACAGAAAAATCACAGTGGAATTGTACAAAAAGAAGACAAAATGGGGACTCTGCATAATGCCATTTCCAACGTAGAACAGCAAGAGTTGGAGAGTTTTGGCTCCAACCCAACCGCCTCTAAGAGTGACCAAGGACCAGAAGGGAGACTATTTACTCCAAGGGTTGCTCACCTGGAGAACAGGAAGCGTAAAATAGAAGAGTCTAATGAGAGTGCAGTGAATGTGTCTGGAGAAAATGAGCCGTTCATTGGACCTAAACTACCAGAACAACCAAAACTTGACATGGAAGATGACTCTTTAAACACAACTCTCAACCTGATCAGGAGCACAATGAAGCAGGTAATTTTTCAGTTGTTTTTATTTTACATAAATAACAAATTATGACATAACTTTGTCTGTCTAATTCTTAGGTGGGATCAGCTCCAGATATTAGACCTATTCAGAAAAAAGCCAAACCGCGTCGCCGGATATAAACTGGACAGACATCGACCAATGTTTTGTAAATTGGATCTTTCATTTCTTAAACATTGTAAGTCAAAGTACATTAGATCATAATAAAATAAAAACAGAGTTGAAAGTGTACACGAATGTGGGTAGTTTCATTGACCCTGTTGCTCTTGAAATACAAGCCGCTCAAACTTCTCAATACTCTAGAAGAAAAAAAGAAATATTGGATTAAGAACATCTTACATAAATGTAAGATTTAAGATTTCCATAATTGTGAGGTTACCATGGGATCAGGGAGGCATTTTCCAAATGCCTCTAGGAGGAGTTTGTCCTTACGCACTGATTTTTGAAAGTCCTTATATGACAGCTTGCCATCACAATCGTGGTCCTGATGGTGAAAGAAGGCAAGGTTTGAAACATACATTATGTTGTTTGACTTTTAAAAAGATAAAACCAAAAGCTTTTCCATAGCGCTGATAAAAGTGCACAGTGATCTTCTCACCATCATCTTCATTGAGGTCTCAACCAAATCTCTAACCCTTTCTTTCGGATCCTTCTCATTGGGCCGCTTGATGAAGCACCCATCCAGCATATTAAAAATCTCTTCTTTGGTGATGAATTTGTCACCATCCAGGTCATACACTTCATAACAGTCTGGGTGAGAAAAAAATAGGAAAGGTTAATAAAACGGTGCGCCTTCCCAAATAGGCCACTATGTTAAAAAATGTATTATTTCTATAACATACTTGGACTTAAATTCCAAAACTCCTTTAACTTAGGTTTCAAGATGTAATGAATGAATCCTTTGCTTTACTTAAGGAAGTAACTGAAGATGTCTATTTGGTCATTCCAATAGATCCTAATTTCCAAGGTTAAAGTCAAGGAAAGTAAAAAAAAAAAAAAAAAAAGGTATGGATTTTTTTTTCTTCTTTTTACCATTTTCTAATTTTTTTGATATTTTTTTTTTAGCTTTTTGCAGCACTAGTGGCTCGTTTTTCTGATAGTAGGCTGACAGGAAAGGGGGAATGAGAGAGGGGGAGAGACATGCGGGAAAGGACCACAGGCCGGATTCGAACCCGGGTCGCCTGCGTCACCATTTTCCAATTTTGTCTAACTATGGAAATAAAAACAAACGTAAAGTTTTTGATATGTCAGCATTTTTCTGTTTCCTGAAAGCTATCAGTCTTATTAATGCTTGATCACTGTAGTGGTTTTACATTGACTTTTGATTTGTATTTTGGCAAATAATTTGAATTTGGACAGTTGTGTTTATCTGGATTTATAATCACTGAACACACACTCCTTGAAAAATAGAAAGGAGAATTGTGCAGAAGCATCTATTTTGTCTCTTTTCAACTTTAAATTCATGTTAAAGTTGGCCTTGGTTTCCAAAACATCCATCCATCCATTTTCTTACACGCGTAGCCCAAGTGGGGTCAAAACAATAAAAAAAGAAATGCTATTGATAGTATTTTTTTTACAGAACAAGGCACTTAAGTTTCTAACTGGTTGAGAGAATCTACAATTTTCCACTCTTAGACACACCATTCTTTAATAGACAAGGTATAAAGTCACAGTAGGTTGAGATAGCATAGAAAATATTGATGCTCTGGCAAACTCTAAATATTAGAAGCCAACTTCACTATTGTTCCATTATTTGTAGGATTACCACCTCTATACACGCAGGCACACAGATAATACTTTGTACTCAAATCTCCTGAATTGTATAGCAAATGTAGAACAAAAATATAGAAATGAGTCTGGAAAAGTAGAGCAACACTGTACATCTGATTGCTTAAAATGCACAACCGTTAATAGAGTGTTTTGTGGTGTAAATAATAATCGTTTTGTATCGATGCATCGATCCAACGGCCGACAATCCGATGCATCGAAACGTAAGCAAGAGTATTGATTCATGTTTTTTTCCCCTGCAGTCTATTTTTATCCATTTGCTCCTGAACATAATTCTGACTCCCGCGCTGCGGTGGTGCTAAACCTATTTTGCCCTCCTACCTCACTTCCTTTAGCCGCTACCCTCTTTCTGCAAACACACGCTCACATAAACAGTAGGCAAGACAGACATGGCGGAGATAGCGGAGGTGAAAGAAGAGGTAGGAAAGATAGACGTGGCGGAGGAAAAAGCAGATGATGTATTTTGAGTATTGAAAATAATTGAATCGTTGGGTCAGGAAATTGATACTGAATCGAATCGCCATGATGGGTGTAATTTACATCCCTAGAGCAGTTACCTAGCTTTTATTGGTCAGTCTAAAAAAAGTACATATACTGTATTCTCTAGGTCTATATATCACATTATTGACAAATCCTGTATTTTTCCAGATTAAATTAATGACAAATTGAAGGACTGATTTAAGTAGTTTACTTGTTGAATAATGGGACATATTATTTTGGACAAAAAGACAAGAGATGAAAACTTGCATTTTATTTTCTCATCGAGCGTCCCACGAAGAAGAACAGACAGCCCTCTGATCCATTCCTCCACACTAACGATCCCATCACGATCTTCATCAAAATTCCTGAAAACTAGGAAAGAACATACTATTAATAACCAATAGAACAAAAATAACATTGGTATTTTATTGATAAACAAAATCTTACATTCAACATAAATTATTATACTTCAATTTAAAGCAATTTTGTGTCTGATGCTGAAATATTACTTCAAGAAAAATATTTACATCATTTAGACGTTGCTTTTTTTGGCTAAATCTGGTCAGTCCGTCATAGTCTTTATGTAGTTCACGATCTGAAAATGACAGCTTTTTATGATAAATCGGCCTGCCACAGGACTTTAAATGACAAGTTAGTTGACGTCATTTGAGCAGTGGCGACTTGCCAATAGAGGGCGCTAGGGTGCCGCCCCACCCACCCAATGACCTTGATAAACGCATAAAAAAATTAAAATCATAAAATAAAAATATTTTGAAATATATTCATATACTTTTTAGATATACAAGAACTGTGGTCACAGTCGTAGCGCGGCTGATTGACAGCTGCGGTAGTGAAGTCCCTTAAAGCAAACTTACCAAGAGAAGCTGGATGTGATAGCATTTGGAACTGATCAGCCAAACATCAAAATTAATCAGTAGTCCAAAGACAGATGGAGACGGTACGGTATACGGTCTTTTTCCAGGACCTGGTTTAGTTACAAGGCTTGGCTAACTGCATGCAGCGAGGCTAATGCTTTATTCTGCTGCCTTGACTGCCTGCCTCCTTTTTCAATTGTTGGGAGACCTATAGGTATTCTTGATTTAACCCTTTTTAGAAAAGGCAAAGAAGCACGAATAAACTTGGATTCACATGGAAAATAATATATAGTGTTCTTTTTTAATTGTTTGTTAATTTGCATAGTTACTCTTAAATAAACACATTCTCAGAAAAAAAATTTTTTTTTCATATATTAAAAAGAATATAAAGCTGACAAATGGCTTCTCCGTTATTAAACTGTTACATTATATTTAGGTACGTGACACCATATTGGGCCATGCAAAACACAAATTTGCCTTCACAAAGCCTCAGAAGGGCAAGATTTATGTACAAAAAGTAAACCTGTACATGAAATTATGTTTTTGTAGAGTGTTGTTATAATGTGTTTTGTTGTTGGCATTCATATAAATCTACATTTTTATTTTCACTATAGTCGTAATATAATTTAAGATATCTTAAATTATCATTCAGGATTCAACATTTAGTTTTTCATAGTCAAAACCTTTCCTTTGATATCTTATAAGTAATCAAAGGATAGTTAGAAGATGATTTTATCATAAAACGGTGTGCCATAACTCTCTCTGTAACCAAATGTAGACGTTTATACATACACCATGTCAACTTTATAATGTGTTTTCAACCAAGTTTCGCTCGGTGGGTACGTCTGTATTCTGATTTGAATCAGTCCAACAATTTTTTTAAATATACAATCGGAGGGAAAATAAGGTTTTACCTCCGTCCAACATTAGGGGTTTGTTTATCCCAAAGGTGGTCTGCATTATTCCTCTGAAGGTCTCTTTATCCAGACCATGTGCTGCTCCAGATGGGCTGACCTGCTTGGCCAGAAGCGCGTTGAAGCGCTTGATCAGACACTCGATCTCTGTTTTAGTAACTGGGAAAATACAAAAGGAGCAGATCATTTAGCAGCGGTTAACTACAAAAAGGTCCTAGTTTACTGAACGAGTTAATGTTGGAGCTCACAACGTTCCACTTTTTTCGAGAATGTTTCAGCCTGGTCTTTTTTCTCCTTCCTGTTCTCAGCCGACATTTCTCTTATTTTAACACCTTCCTTGAGCTTTAACGTTTTCGTAGTGAACGTACCGGTACTCTTTTTTTTTTTTTTTTTTTTTTTTTTGTTAATGTAGGGAGGTGTGAGTTGTTGACGTCTCCATGGCAACAGTGCAGAACTCACGCTCACGTGGTCTGTGACGTGTGCTGTGCATAGTTTAAAGTTGACGCGAAAATATATCTAGCCTGTTAGATGGACTTACAAATTTTTTTTGACCACTTTGGGGCACTAATACGGAGGACCAACTCTGCCATATCTAAAAATACATATATAAATAAATAAATGCTTAATAAATAAATAAGCATTATATTAATTGCCCCCAAAAATATATAAATATAAATACAATAAACAAAAAAATGTAGGTAGAAATTAAATTAAACAGTGAGACATAAATGTATATATCTCTTTTAAATAGCTTCTTTATTTATTCCCTTTGTAATAATTACCTTATTTATTGTCCATTATAATCTTCAACTTTATTTATGTATTCCTTATTTTTTAAAGTATTTATTTATGTGAAATATGTATTTTTTTGTCTGGTTTATTCTTCCTTTGTATTGTTTTTTACCCTATTTATTTCTTCAACACTATTTCTGCCTGTCGTTTTTAAATTTCTGTATGCATTTCTGCCTCATTGTGCAAATGAGGAGAGGCTGTGTCTTAGAGCAGTGGTTCCCTGATGGTGTGAGTCAAGTGCGGGTGTGCCGTGGAATTTTGTGACAACCATGTATGGTCATTACAATATAATAACAGAAAAATAAAAAGCCTATACGGTCATATCACTACTTTCTTTGCATTCATTTTCACAAAACAGAGGCAAACTACATTACAATAATCTAAAAAAAAAAAAAAACTCAAGGAGAACTCCCTGACCACGGAGATGCGCAGGTAGGAATTATCATCCTGTGGCACGATGGACATGTTCCCGCTGGCATCAGCTGCGCCGCAGGCAGCAAAGGAGCGCGCATTATATGCCGAACACCTTCAGAGCTTAAAAGAGAGGTTTGAGCGCTACTTTCCACATGTTGCTGACGTTGAGGATTACGACTGGATCCGAGACCCATTCAACCAGGAATCTTCAACAGAAAAACTGACAATGAAAGAAAGAGAGGAGTGGGCACATTAAAACTCAAATTTAGTGAGCTCCCACTGGATCAGTTTTGGTTGGCTTCTGCATCAGAATACCCAAACATCTCACGCCACGCAATTGAGCACCTTCTTTTTTTCCCCACTATTTACCTGTGTGAGCTGGCGTTCTCTACTCTGGTTTACATGAAGAACAACAGGAGGTCACGGCGCTCTGTTGAACAGGACTTGCGTGTGGCCCTCTCCTCAGGGCCACCAAGGATAAAAAAAAACTGTGCACACCGACAGGCACACGTGTCTCACTAGTTTTCTTTGCTTCGTTTTTAATTTTGTGAACCATGATTTAAATAGGCTGCTTTGATGAAGCCTATTTTGATGAAGTTTCAAATAAAATTTTGGAATATTTTGTTAATAAATATTTCATGAGTAATATAGTTGTCTTGTCACAATTTATTTTGAATTTGTACATAATTATAACAAATATTTTGCTAAACACGATGGATGACACAGGTTTTAAATGCTCTTTAGCACAATAAGTGTGCCTTGAGATTTTTACTTGTCCTTTGGTGTGCCTTGGGCACAAAAAGTTTGGGAACCACTGTCTTAGAGAGTCAACTTCTGCCCATTGGTTGGTTAGTATTTTACTGCATATGTCGAATCTACAGTAGGAGAGGAGAGTCTGAAGTCGAGTCTGAACTCAGAGGCCGTTTCTCAATTCATAAGAACGTGAGTACGAACTCGTGTCCTCGCCAAGTATGTTCTTGAGAAGAAAAGTCTGGACTCTGAGAGAATGGGAGCACGCAATATAAATATGGGTCAATTGGAACAGAAGTGTACTCGTGACATCACCACATGCTAGCTCGTCTGAAGCTGCTTTTCTCCCCCTGTTATTAATAGTCTCTAGATAATACTAAATTCTGACTTTTCATTTAGTGGGGGAAGAATAATTAACAGTCAGATAAATTGTTGATTATATTTTTGGGGGCAATTAATTGCATGCTTATTTATTTATTGAGCATTTATTTATTTCTGAATTTATTTTTAAATATGGCACAGTTGGTCCTCCATACACTATAAGTGGGTTGCTTATTGCCCCGGGGGCAGTTGTTGACCAGATTTACTGTGGGGGACCAAATTAGGGCCAATATTTTTCATGGGGGCACACAATTAGAAGAAGGGGGAAAAAAACTATATATTTAACGTATTAAGTGAGAGGTAGAGCAAAAGAGCCACATACAACTATGGACACCCCAGGTATAGCAGATATAAAGTAGGAGTGCACCAATCTATAGCTCCTGATTTTGTTACTTTTGGGAGATCGATGATTGACCGGTACTGAGATGTGAAACCGATCTCAACTCCAGATTTGACCTACTTCTGCAAAGCTTAAAGTGCTCTAAGCTTTTCATTTATATTTGTGAATATTACCTTGTGCAGTTGAAACAAGATTGTAATGCTTTACATGTTCTTTTTTCCCCCAATAACATGAGATTAATTATTTTAAGGTGTGTTGTAATTTTATTTAAGCTGTTAAAAAGAGAATATCAGTATTTGTCAAAATTGTAATTAGCATGTCAGGCTTTTTAAAGATCGTTTATTCGCCAGAAAACTGCAATCAGTGCATTGCTAAAACCACAATCTTATCTCAATACAACTGAAGTTAAAAGTCCAACACTTTTTGAATCATTTTTAAAATAAAACTATAAAGGTAAAAAAAAAAATCTAAGAAATTAACTAGATCCACGGGATTTCGGAATTATGGTTTCTGCGCCGTATAACAAATAAAAAACATATTAATGTACTATACACATGTACTGTGCCCATGCGCTGTACACATCAGTACATGGGCCATAAAAGTCTGCCCTGAGATCCCTCTAGTGAAAACATACACTGCAAAATTAAAATAGAAATTATTTAATCTTTCTTAAAATAAGATAATTTTTCCTTGATTTAAGTAGGTCATTGAGAACAGTTTTGGATGGAATGATTTACATTTAGAGTGATAAAGAAAAAAAAAACAATTCCATTAACATGTTTGAAAGGCATAATATCTAGTAATATTAATTTAAGGGCAGAAACACTCATTCTTTTTGTCAGATTTGCTTACATGGGGCAAATACAGTTATTTAAAGAAATGTTGCAGTGTATCATCTGTCATGCATCAATTTCTTATGATATGCACTGACAGAAGAGACTATAAGTAATTTGACTATTAGACCAATTCAATATTCAATTGACTTTAACAGTTATTTAACATTATGGTCAGCCGTAAGCTTCAGCCGTATATTAAGATAGGATACGTTTTCATCTGTTAGATAAGGGGTCTGCAACCTTGGCTTTGTGGCTGAAAACTAAACAATGCATGACTGCCCTTTTTATGTGTATGCATGTTTTTAATTATTTTGTTCAGTGCCGCTATTAAAAACAATGGCCGCACTGTGGCCCATCTAGAAAATGTGGTTTAGCATTACCTGCATCTGAATTCTGCAGGTAATTACATCAAGTCTGAAGTCTTCCACAGGTTATCTTCCAGGAAATCTTAGTATTTAGTCCCATCCAGCTGAAGAACAGCATCCTCACAGAGCAGCCATGTAACACCAAAGCAATGTTGTGTTAAGGGGGGATGTAAAGTATATGGGTCTGGATCTTATTGTAGGTAGTAAAAAACTAAATGACAATAACATTGCAAGAATATTGGAGATCACACATTTTCCTTAAGAAATTAAGATTTTTTAATTAAGATTTATCAGACAAACTTTAGTGGGTTTGGAGCTGTCATTAATGTCTTGATGAGCTTACATCTACTAAATTGCTTATTACATCAGGGAGAGGTTAAATATTTCACTCTGCAATGGGAAACTCAAAAACCAGAATGTCAGCAATTGTAAACGGATTGTAGATAAGCTGATATTACACGAGGCCAAAAAAATAAATAAATAAATAAACTAATAGAAATACAGTCACTAGGACACAATCTTTTATAAAGTGATATATGCCTTAAAAAAAAAATAAAGATGTGAGTTTTTCTGTAGATGGGCGATTAACAGATGATTTAAAAATTCTAAAACCTACACAATATTCATTAAATCAATAAAAAAAAACATGCCCGAATTACAAAATAGTAATTTTTCTGATATGGCTCCAGAATGGAGTCAAATATTCTGTCAGTGCTGCCATCTACTGGGGAAAAAACTGTAGGGGTTCAGTCTGATTCTGAATCCATCATTTAAGGCTGACATTTAAAACCCCTTTTGAAGAAAATGTAACATTACACAGACAGACAGACATATTGGGTTGTAGTGCTTTTAAAATGGTCAAACACAAGTTGCCAACAAGATGATGAAAAAATTATAAAAAAAACAAAACATCTAAGATTCTCCCAAAGCATAAATGAATATTAATAAGAGAAAATAAAACAATTTTCTTTACCCATAGACCCAAAGATGATTGACAGTAACATAAGACATCAATGCAAGCGGGATAAAATATTAATGTGTGCCTGCTGTTATCCCCTAAAAATGCCTTATTCTTATACATGAAGTTACAATACACATGAAAAAAAACAATTCTTTATTTATAGTTTATATATTGTATTAATCAATAAACTACAATTGATTATAAATGCATTCTTTACCAGATTTAAACACTGAAATACATTTTGATATGCAGACGTATCTACAGAAACAACTAAGTTATTCCTGCACTCAAAGAATATTACTGCTGACTTAATTTTTAAGTGTGAATGTGTGTGTATCTATATCATAAATACAGAAATGTTACAGTCCAACCGCTGTTTGAACATGAATGTGAATGAGTGTTAAAGAGCAGGATGTTCTGGTCATGCAGACCGCTGGGTCAGGTTAGTTCTGATCGGTAGGGTTGTGTTGATCCAGCGGTTTGGGTTTTCAATCATGGAGGTCCAAACAGCGACTTCATCTTCCGTGGAGTCCATCCAGTTAACAGCCTCCCCGTAGCTCTGACCTGCCGTTAAAAAAATGTCAACATGCAGTTAAAAGCCTCGAACATTACCACAAACCATAGACCGCAGCATATGTCCAGGACTCCTAGGAATCCAGGAATGTTTTAGCATAAAATAAAATAAATTCTGAATTATTATTATTATGTGTGTCGAGAGTTCTGTGAGCAGCTATGGCTACAGAGTAGCTTTAAACAATTGTGTTTGTGAACGACTAAAGTTCAAAGCGCTATGGAGTCCCCTGAGATGAAAAAGTGCTACATAAGTGCAATTCATTTCACATTTAATAAATTCCCAGAAATTATTTTAAAATAAGTTGGCTAACAAGAGACAATTTTGGAGGTGCTCTAATCCCAAGATCTTCTGAAGTGTTTAAAATTATTCAAGTGCAAAACTTAACCCATTCAGTATTGTCACCATGCAGAAAATAAACACTGCAAATTGAACCTATATCTGTGTTTTTCTTCAGGTGTATAGATGGTGTTATAAAGACAAACTATGACCTATGATGTCACATTTCCAAAATAAATTAACACTGTTGTGGTAATTACATCAAGATCCTTTGCAAAGACAAAGGTGAAGCCAATAAGGGTGAAAAAAAAATGAATTAAAAACTACCTTTTAACTTTTACCAAAACATATTCTAATTACAATATTACAACAGACTCTTTTCTTCCCTGGTTGAATATTAGAACCTGTATGATGAAACAGGGGTAAAGAGTTAAACTAATACAAGTTTAAAGGTTCTCACCTGTTCCACAGCTCAGACGAATCCCCCCCAGGATGTTCGACTTCAGTCCATCTCTTTGACAAACTGTGAGCTCGGCACAGGCCTCCCTCAGGTCGCTGGTTTGAAAGCCGTCGTAGACCATGGTGTGGTTGTACGTCGGACTGACTGAGTGCTTCACAACACGGGTTTTTTGACCGCTCTGTCGACTGACATCTGGGAGAATGTAGCTTGATTTTGATGGGGAGACAGTAAAAAGAGTCAAAGACAGGTGAATGGAACTGATGAGTTTACTCACCAATGAAGGTTGACTAAAAATGTATTAACCACTTTTAGCATCCCTTTCAACCAGCTACAGTGGAGTAACAAACTCAAAGTAATATTGAAATGTATAGTATTACTTCAAACATTTTCAACACAAGGTTTAATATTTAAACCATTTGTAATCTCTGGATTGTATTTAATCATAGAAAAATGGTTAAAAAAAATTAAAGGAGAGGAGACACACCTTTTAACAAAAGAGTCTAAAGCACCTCCTTTCTTAGAGAGTAGACCTTGAGCCTCCTGGAGCCAGATGTGAACTTCTCCTGTTGAAGGCAGGCCACCACCTAAACACAAACGTATAGATCTATGCATACTTTTTTATCTTCACACAGAATTTTATAACAGTTGCATGCAGGGGTGCCACCCTTGAAAGACATTGTTATTGTGCCCCCCCATAAAAAAATATTGAAGCTTTAAAACTGCTATAAAGATGCACTGAAGAGTTTCATTTACATTTTCAATGTAATAGATATTGTAAAATTCCTACAAAAAAAATGATCAGAACCTGAAAAAGTTAAACATGCATTAACTTTACATTGTGAAAATATATTCCGATTAGGTTTCACTATAACTTTATTAAAGGACAGATTATTTTAATTTAATGGTTATAATTTAATCTTATTTGGTCAATATATTCATGCTATGTTTCGCTGTTTACTGCTGAAAAATGATGGGGAGCACAAAGATAATTTATTTCACTGCTGGATTTTCTTTTTATATTTGAAAAATATAGCGGGACAAATCTTTTCTTCTTCTTTTGGGGCCCCCCCTCAGTCAAGGACCCTTAGAATCTTTATAACCCACCCCCCATATGGCCCCCCTGCTTGCACATCTTTTGTGTGGAATTGTGATAGCTTTATTCATCTCACCTTCAAATCCCTCAGGAACAAATTTGATGGACAGCATGATGTTCCCTCTAATGCTGATATACTCTGGACTCAGATGAACCTGTATGAAAAAGTCAGAGGATAACAAGAAATAAATAGATAAGGCATTGAGATGCATGGAAGCTGGGACACACCAAGGTTATGTAAAAGCTTCTTTAAAATTCCCAGCACGTCTTCCTCTTCCTTCAGCTCTTGCAGAGGAGAGACACACTCCTCCCCTTTTATCCGGTGTCTCCAGCAAAGCTTCAGTGTCTGTTTCATGGACACTGAGAGGCTGAATGAATGCAGATGCAAGCATCTGTGCTTTCATTATAATTCACCGGGCTGACTTCTAAACATAATTTAAGTTCTGCTTTTTTTACAATTTATCAAGATGTTCTCCTACAGATTATAACAAGATTCATCACATCTTAAATTGTGCCTCTCAGATATTAGTCAGTATGCAGTTTGAAGGTTTTACATGTTGTGCCTCACCTGGTATACCAGGGCTGCTCCCCGGGGCTCCATTTGAAGCTTCCTTCTATCTAACACCTCTCGATCAGACTTAGAGGCGCTACGGCTCATGCTTATTGTTATGAGGTTTAGGGCTGAAGCAATTAATCGTGATTAATCGATTATTGAAATATTTTTCAACAAATTTAGTAAAATATTTATCATTAACTGGAGTATGGAGACTGAAAAAGCTGACAGGGCAACCCACTGAGAACAGTAATTACACCAAATTTAAAAAAAATATATATATAAAAATCTTGCATTTAAGATTAAAAAAATGTTTTCTTCTGTCAATATGCTCTATCCACAACTCCTCAGGTGGAAAAGTTTCAGTTTCACCTGGTTTATTTTCACAAAAAATCTTCTTTAAGGAACGTTTGGCTGTCCGAATATTAATCGATTAATCAAGAAATTTATTGACAAATTAATCGATTTGCTAAATAATTGTTAGTTCCAGCCCTAATGTTGTTTAAATGGGATCTCTTCATGCACTGTATAAAAATACATTAATTTATCATTGTCAGATACCAATACAGACAAATGTTCTTTTGTTTTAGATCAGTGAGGATTAACAAATAACACATTTGAATTAATGGAAAGTAATAAATTATTCCAAATTGTAACTTGCAGTTAATATTTGGTAAAAATGCCTTTTATACTTTATGAAACCTGAGTCTAATGCTTCTGGGTAAGTTACTGGTTTGAATGCGGGGGATCAGGGTTTAAAACTGTTTGTGTTTGGAAGATATCCGGAGTAAAAACTTTTCCATGTCTGTAAACGAGGTGCAATGACTTTGTTGTGGCGACCTATGATTAAGGAAGCAGCTTGAGGATGCACACACAGTCAAATTCCTACATAAAAAATAACCATTTATTACTTGAATGGTTCGAGAACTGACTGCTTTTATGGTGGTTACACCTTCATGTAATTGAACAGATAAAAGTGGGACCTTCCAGGTTCTGGAGGTCAAGGTTTAACCACATCTGATACCAAAATTACAAGTTGATTTTCTTGCTACCAAAAAAACAGATCTTGAAATAAATCTTTTTGGGCTGTTTATATTTAAATATGTAAATTGTTTATATTTATATTTTACATGTCCATGTCAAACCTATGCTGCTTTTAACAGCCATTGTCTTCATACTAACATCATATTTAATATTTGAACTGCTGAGTGATGTCTGTCAGGTTCTAGAAAGGTTCTTCTACATAAAATGCTTAAGTATTTGCCCCACAGTTTTTGAATTTTTTTTTTTTTTTTTTCCTGGGGCTCATTAAGCAAAAAGCATCCCTTACCCGTGGCTGCAGATCTTGCCAAAGGGGCTGTGTGGAGGTCCAGTCCCAGAGCCCCAGGGCCACCTCCACCTCCCCCAGGAAGATATTCCTTCCCAGAGGTTCGGCATGCCACACCGAGAGGTTCAAAGTCCGACTACTCAGCTCTCTATTACATAGTTTATACTAAAAGACAACAGAATCAAAACATAAGCACTGCACGACAGAACTCTAGGAGATCTCTCATTTCATAAATCAAAACCATGACTGCTTTTGAATCGTTATGAGGAACAAATATTACAGTTTTAACTTTATACCAGTGTGTAGATGAGAAAGCATCTCACCCTGAGTGTCTGATCATAGACTGGATTCAGTGTTTTCTTCTTGACTGACGTCTTCTTCTTGCTGTGATTTGACTTGTCTGGCAAAAGATAGCTCTTTACGTATCTGTGAAACACCAACACACACATGCATGTAACTTTATTGATTCAGAGTGTGACTGCCAATTTGGCGTTAGTCACATGAAAACACTTGCTTACGGGTCGGAGCGGTTCTTGCGTGCTGAAGCGATGTCCTCGCAGCGATACACCCTCACCTGCAGCTCCTCCTTACGATTGTCGTAAACCAGCGAGTACTGAATGCGGCCCCTCACCTCCACCGCTCCGAAATCCCCCGAGCTAAACAGACTCATCATGCTTCCACTGAGCTGCAACAAACACACACACACAGAGCAGAGATGAGCTCCTGCGTCACCGTCCTGAGCTGAGTCATCTTCATCGTCCTAACTGTCAGCTGATCAGTTGTGTGTGTGTGGGTTTGGTTTGACTGTGTGTGTACCGTGTAGCTGGAATGAAGGCTGTTGTTGGAACTGCAGTTTTTCAGAAAAGATGGATCTGGCTCTGTCAGGCTGCCATTCAAGGAGTCAGAGTCCCCGTTGAGACCAACAATAAAATCTTCCTAAATGAAAACATTCACAGAAGGATCTAGTTCTTATACAATGCATCATATTTTATCACAGATCCTGCATTATGCACACACAAAAATTCAGAAACTATTCAAATCCAATGACTTTCCTTAAACATAAATTACCATTACATTTAAAATCCTCACTTCAGTGAAAAGCAAAAATATGGGACATCTGTACAACCCCCCCATGTCTATAGGAGGTAAAAAGCCCAGAACTTATATAATAATTTTCATTACGGCAGCATAGTCGAGAAATAACAAAAAATAACAAAGCATAAAACATAAATGAAGGTAAATTCTTCTTGTTATTTATACATTTATACCCTGCTTTTCTTTATTTGATCCGTCACTCAGTATTACCCAGCATCCTTTTCATCTAGAGTATAAATATAATGTCCCATAGACAACTGTTTCTCTTAGCACATCTTCAAAATGGGAAAAAATAGGTAAACATGCTATCCTATCATGCTGTCTTCATCTTTTTAGGAGTCATGAAATAGATATGAGAAAGAGGAAACAGTTAACAGCTTTAGATGGGAGTCAAAAACCTACATACAAAAAGTAATGCATGGAAAAAAAATTGACTAAAGGAGAAAAATCAGTTTTCTTTACTCAAGTCTATTTTCTTCTTTAGGAATAAAAACTGTTATAGAACCCGTTTCAGAATTCAGGGAAACTTTATTCAAGTGAATGAAATTATTAACCCTTTTAAATAGCAGGGGATCTTTAATAAATGCAATGATTCATCCAGTAAAAAAACAATCGGTTATGAATGGACCTTTGGAAACAATAACTATTTAAAGAATATGGCTAAGTCTACAAAAAAAGGGTTTAAAGCAGCGGTCCCCAACCACCGGGGCGCGGACCGGTACTGGTCCGTCGGTCATTTGGTACCGGGCCGCACAGAAAAAAGTATATATATATATCCATCCATCCATCCATCTTCCTCCGCTTATCCGGGGTCGGGTCGCGGGGGCAGCAGCTTAAGAAGGGAGGCCCAGACTTCCCTCTCCCCAGCCACTTCTTCCAGCTCTTCGGGAGGAACCCCAAGGCGTTCCCAGGCCAGCTGAGAAACATAGTCTCTCCAGCGTGTCCTGGGTCTTCCCCTGGGCCTCCCCCCGGTGGGATGTGCCCGGAACACCTCACCAGGGAGGCGTCCAGGAGGCATACTTAACAGATGCCCAAGCCACCTCAACTGGCTCCTCTCGACGTGGAGGAGCAGCAGCTCTACTCCGAATCCCTCCCGGATGACCGAGCTTCTCACCCTATCTCTAAGGGAGAGCCCAGCCACCCTACGGAGGAAACCCATTTCGGCCGCTTGTATCCGCGATCTCGTTCTTTCGGTCATGACCCAGAGTTCATGACCATAGATGAGGGTAGGAACGTAGATCGACCGGTAAATCGAGAGCTTCGCTTTTTGACTCAGCTCTCTCTTCACCACGACGGACCGGTACAGCGCCCGCTTCACGGCAGACGCTGCACCAATCCGCCTGTCGACCTCCCGCTCCCTTCTTCCCTCATTCGTGAACAAGATCCCAAGATACTTAAACTCCTCCACTTGGGACAGGACACCCCCCCTGACCCGGAGAAGGCACTCTACCCTTTTCCGGCTCAAGACCATGGCCTCGGATTTGGAGGCACTGATCCCCATCCCGGCGCTTCACACTCGGCTGCGAACCGATCCAGAGAGAGCTGCAGATCACGACCTGATGAAGCCAATAGGACCGCATCATCTGCAAAAAGCAGAGACGCAATCCTAAGGCCACCAAAACGGATCCCCTCAACACCTTGGCTGCGCCTAGAAATTCTGTCCATGAAGGTAATGAACAGAATCGGTGACAAAGGGCAGCCCTGGCGGAGTCCAACTCTCACCGGAAACGAGCCCGACTTACTGCCGGCAATGCGGACCAGACTCTGACACCGGTCATACAGGGACCTGACAGCCCGTATCAAAGGGCCCGGCACCCCGTACTCCCGGAGAACCCCCCACAGGGCCCCCCGAGGGACACGGTCGAACGCCTTCTCCAAGTCCACAAAGCACATGTAGACTGGTTGGGCGAACTCCCATGCACCCTCCAGGACCCTGCTGAGGGTGTAGAGCTGGTCCAGCGTTCCACGACCAGGACGGAAACCACACTGCTCTTCCTGTATCCGAGGTTCGACTATCCGACGGACCGTCCTCTCCAGCACCCCCGAATAGACCTTGCCGGGGAGGCAAGGTCTATATATATATATAGATATATATATCTATATATATATAGATATATATATATGTATATATATAAGATTTATCCACAATCAGAGTCTGAACAATGTTTTATTTTGAAAAATATAAAAAAATTGCGGTATTCTCTTCCAATTACATCAGTCGGTGCATCTGTGCCTCTTGACACAGGTTAATTCAGTTCAAGACTCATCCTATCTATAACATCCTATCTTTGTGAAGCAAGATTTTCTGCGGTTACAGCGACCAAAACAAAGCTACGGAGCAGACTGGACATCAGGAGCACACTTCGCGTGTCATTGTCTCCGATTACGCCTAGATGGGACCGGCTTGTTGTTTTATTTTTATGCTCTTTGTATTTTACGGAGCCCCCTAGGGGACATTGGGAATTTTTTATTTTTTTTTGCGTTCCCTTGCAAAAGTATTGCGTTACCTCGCAAAGCTTTTTGCGAAAGTTTTGCGTTCCCACGCAAAACCTTTTGCGTGAGAACGCAAAACCTTACTTCGGTAAAGTTAGAAACATATTCACAGATTTGGACTTCCGGGATCAATAACTCTCATTGTTGAAACACAAATGGCTGCTCTTTCATGTCCTGATAGCACAGACTACGTATTACAAGAATCAAAAAGCGTTATTTTTTGAGAAAAACGAGTCGTTTTCCTAGCTGGATGTATTACATTGATCTCTATGCACAGTTAGCGGCCAGGCGAGTGGTTGGGGACCGTCTGCAAATGGTAAAACAACAGCAAAACGTCGCAAATAAAAATCAATAACTCCACTGCCATAAAGTGCAGAGACTCCAAAATCACCACACACACCAATAGCTGGTTTGGAAAAATACACCTTTCCTTTTTTTTTTTTTTTTTTAGATTTTTTTGTTATCATTAAGCATTAATATCAGCGAGGTAACGCAAAAGGTTTTGCGAGGTAACGCAAAATTTTGCGAGGTAACGCAAAAGGTTTTGCGAGGTAACGCAAAATTTTGTGAGGTAACGCAATACTTTTGTGAGGGAACGCAAAAGAAAAAAAAAATTCCCCATGTCCCCTAGGGGGCTCCGTATGATTTTATGCCAGTCGTATCATTTACATCCCGGCCGTCTGACATAAAGCGGTCCGTGGTGCAAAAAAAGGTTGGGGAACACTGGTTTAAAGGACACAATAGCAACTATATTTCATTGCCATCTCATTTACCAGACTTGACAGAACATTGTTCTCTAAGCTATAGAGAAGATGGCATAAGAAGAAGATTATAGATAGACTGTCCTAAAATGAAAATTAAACGTCTCTCTATCAGCATACATCTAACTTGTGAAATGGTATAGGAAAAAAATGTGGCGCTCTCCAGTGGGCAAAAGAAGGTGTTCAAATAATGAATGAATGAATAATTGAAACAAATTTAAAAGCTAACCTCTAAGCAACTTTCCCCTGGCTGAAAAATATTGCAAAAGTTGTTTTTTTTTAATGTTTTTGACTATTTCTAACACATTAAATGTAATCATATTATTCTAAATGTTATTATCATTAAATTCAGTGAATGTTCTATCATTTCTAGCATAGTGGTTAAATGTGAGTGAATCCAAGTAAAATTGCCTCAGGTGGAGTCCCCATCTTTAAAAAAAAACTGCATATAAATAAAACCATATTTCTGAGACCTTTTCATAAGAACATAGTGATGTTCAAATAATTAATAATGCCACTATATAATCAAACAATCCAAAAGTTTTAGAAAGAAACATGTTTAACTTATACCTTCACATATCGTCAAATATTGACTCAGTGGATGGAAGATGGAAAACAGGCTAGCTGAACACTGTTTACCAAAGTGGTTAGTCACAGTAATGTGTGAGTGTAGGTGGGAGGTGCAATCACCTCAGGTTCTTCCAAGTGGCCATTACTTCTCATTTCCCACTCTGAACAGAATAACATTTGAATAATGTTACTCAGAGGCATCCAGTGGTGCACAAACACTATTAAAGACAATCTTTCATACCTTTTGATGGACAGGAGCTGTTTGTGCTGTTCAAAACCTTATTTTTAGAAAACAAAATTTGATAATAGTATCTGATTTGTTTATAAATGATTTTGCAATATAGGATTAAACAAAAGCAAACCTGCAAATGCTCTACTGGCCTTCCGGGTCTTGGTGTAAAGTCGTGTTTCAAACCTTCCTCACTCCTGGAAGCAAAGAGAGCAAAGAGAAATCGAAAAGGTTTCCCCAACGATTACTGCAAGAAGAGCTTTTAATTTGAAGGGTACTCTAACTAACCCTCGGTTTTTCTCTTCTGTTTTCTCCTGCAGTCTTTCGTTCGCCCCAGGGGGGATGCTGTTGGTGGGAGTTTCCTCCTTCCCGGGGAACAGTTCATTCAGGTTCACATCTGTTACCATCGCAACAACAAGAGAATCATCACTGAGATAGACACTGCGGCCCCCATGGCATGTAATTTCTGCTGCTCTGACTGGAGACCCACCTCTGCTCTTTGTTTTTCTGTGGCGAATGGAGGCCCGAATAAGGTCACAGCCTGAAGTCCACCTGTGATGCCGTTTACTGTACTCTTCACTGAACCATTCTCCACTAAGGAGCCGAAGGCGTGACACATTCGTTTCTGTCTGCTCAAGGTGCCTGCAGCGTTGACAAAGATTGACATGATTGAAGTAAAATCAAAGAACTGCATCTTCAATAGAAAACTGTCAGTTCACCTTAGACAGAGTGAAGTAATTTCTCCCTCAGCTGACATTTAGGTTCTTATGTTATAAAGAGGGCTATCAGTAAATGAATTATACTCTGTCTGAAGAAAATGTTGCATCCCAAAGTGGCTCAATCATTTTCAATTTTGCTACTATTTTGCACATGCTATAAATATTTGCACTGATTCACAAAGCTGACTGTGCTGAACACATGTAGATGCAACCTCTACCACTATTTCCAAAGCAGTTTGTATCTGTTATGCTAGAACAAAGTTATCTTCCTTTCGCCTTAAAACAAAGCAGTTGCAGCAGAGAGCTATTAAAGATGGGACAAACAATGTTTGTTCTGTTTAAAAAAAATACATTATTCATAAGATCTAACAGGAGGAATCACATTGTAATGGAGTCCCATAAAGTGAATAAGTTACCATTATCTTTTCCAGGCCTGCTTAATGATTTTATTTTTGTATCATTCTGATGAAGCATAAAGCATTGTATGAGTTTCAGTTATTAATTTACATTTATTCTTTTTTATCTATTATTACTTTAGTCTTTAGTAAGAGTTTTGTATACGTGTGTATAAAAAAGGGGACAATGAATAGTGCTCCCACCGTGCCCCCCGGTTCACTGCCCCACTTTCCAAGCCCCTTCTTGTCTCCCTCGTCTGTGTCTTTGGTTCTGTGTTGTGATGATGTTAGTTTTTATGATATAATTTGTATTAAGAAAACAGCTTTGGTCTTTGAGAACTAGGTGATGCTGGTTCCCCTTGAAAAATAACAAGGTGAAGTTTAGCAGCTTTATTAAAAGTTTATTAAACCTCTAATAAACAGGCCAATGACAACAGCTTATCCTAACAACAGTTCTCTCTTGAATTACTAGTACCAGAACAAGCAGAGTCTTTTAGTCATGGAAATGTACAGATCTGCATGAAGAGATCTGTACATTTCCATGACTAAAAGACACTGCTTGTTCTGGTACTCCATCCTGTCCTCCATCCTGCATCCTCCATCCTGTCCTCCATCCTCCATGTACAGATCTGCATGAGCAGAGTTTAACAAATATACCACTTCAGGGAAATAATATCCTTTGACTGACCTTATACGACCTTTATCGAGATTACGCAACTCCAAATCGCGTTGTAGCACCTGCAGGATGGAGGACTGCTCCTCCTCCGTCAGGTGGCTCAGGTCAAGAGATGAGTCATTCTGCTCCCCCGCCATACCTGGAAAACAGATGAGGAAAAACAAATAAATGTTACCTGTTAAGAAGTGCAATGTGTCCTGTTTGTATTTTAATAGGATTGTTCAAGGATATAACAGCACCTTTCTCAAAAGACTACAATCTGAACCATACTGTTCTAATTTTTTATACAAATTTGCTTTTTAACAAACATTCTGTGAATGAATTATTGCTTTATTTTTTCAGTGCCAATGTGCATGAATTGTGGAAGCTAGCATCATTTTTAAAGCAAATTATATATTTATAAGGCATTGACAAGAGATGCAAACATGTAAGCTATAAAAATGACTTCCATAATGTGAAGTAGTAAATACATTTCATTTTCAAAGAAATCACGTGGCATATTCACACTCTCACTATTCTTAACAATTCACAGATAATGCTTGGATAGAATATTTGGTATGTTGTCGCATTTAAAGTACAACGCAATAAAACACTCGTCGTGTCAATAGTGTAACTAGTCAGCTGGATTACATTGAGTGCCCTTCCTGTCTCAGCCTTGAGTTGATCTTAGTAACAAAGATGCTAAATTCCACACATAGCAAAATAACAAAAAAAGGCAAAGAAGACTGAGGAAAAATATCAAAACAATGAAAACATAATAACACAGATGAATGTTTTCTCCACAATCTACAAAACAGATGTACAATATTACCAATAAAGAATTTAGGTACCTTTACTTGAAGAACACTTCCAAAAAAAGTAAGAGAATTTGAATTGATAAGGCCTTAAATTGCTTAAGGATTTTTTTTCATCTATAGTTTTTGAAATTGTTACATTTCTAATACTTTCATTTAAAGACACACATTTTTCTATATCATGCATCAGAGATATTATGTTCATCACGCTTTGTTTTATATCACAAAAAGAGCTTAATTTATAACATGATGCAAAAACCTTTTATAACTTGTGTTGAAAAAATTTTAATTACCACAGGTTTTCGTAATGTAAAATCAAAGCTCATTCAGATTTAAAAAGTTAAATTTTTTAATATTGGTTTAGATTGGGCTGCATACTTCTACAGCAACAGTGTATGTAATGTAACTTAATACAGCGCAATGTGGTTCACAACCTATTCTAGTATTTGTCAGGATCATGTGTCATGCAGACAATAGCATAACTTAATACACAGAGAACCTAAACCTTTGTAAAATGTCATTGTTTAGCAAACAATCAAACATGTCCTCTGCAGCTACAGCTGGATTTCACAGAAATATCCTGATGGACATAAAGTAACCCACCTGCAGAATTCGAACCTGTTAGGATCAGAATTGGGACTAAGCTTTGGGAGAACACAGAGCTGCCATGTCTCATCACTATGTTGGGTTGTTCTCTTTAACAACCTAACGTCTAATCCATCATACTGACATCCAGAATTGAAGGGATTATGTTGGTGGTTTAAAAATATATATATATATCACTCAGTATACAGTCATAAAACAGCAACAGCACAGTAAAAGACCTTTTCTCCCGGATAGTTTCTATGCAAGAGCTAGTAGTAATAGGGAACCTAAATTGAATTGTCAAAATAGGGGAAAATAAAACTGCGTAAATAGGATAATAGCTGTGTAAGAAAAAAAAATTTCTTTTCTGGTTTTCTTTTGCTCTAAAAACCTGTGAAATTATTAATCCAACAATAAAATTCAAGACAAATGGATTTTTAATCAATGGTTCAGTGCTCTTCTTGATGATTGTGCTTCAATGAACAGCATATTAACTATTTCTATCTCCATCTGCTGCTGACTTGTTATTGTTTTAGAAATATACAACCTAGCTAACCTGCTCACACTAAGATACTGTTAATGATATCAGCTAATCTGAAACCAAAAACTCTTTAGTCAACTCCCTTTCACCTTTAATTTAACAACATGGAGATTGTTGAATCTGACTTCAGCACCCTATTTTCTTTTGACCTATTTTTATAAACATTTTCTTACCGGTAATTGTTTTTGTTATTGTTTCATATCCCTTTGTTTCATAGATGCCAACACATTAGAGGTACACTTTAACTGAGTTACTATAGCCATAAAAAGTGTTCTGCAAGTGATATATTAGTCTGAGACTAGTGATGTTTGGCCCTTTACTTTTTTTTTCTTGTAGCTCAAAGGTCTGTATTTTTAGCTGCTATTAGATACAAAAAAGACAGCAATGTAACGATTAAGTAAAGACTAAACCTTTTGGAAAAAAAAATATATCACAGCGGGAAAATACAAATAAACCATAGTCATTTATAGGTTCCATAAAAAACATAGTAATTTACAGGCCTGTTGTTCTTTAGATGGTAAAGTTCAGTGGAACTGGGAACTCAATTTCTTATTACTGCCTTAAAAGTTTTGCTTTTGCTGATCTGTTAAAACTTTGGGGATGGAGCACCTATAGCACACTCTCTCTTTTTTTTTTTTTTTTTTTGCATTTTCTGTAAATAGCAAACTTTAAAATCAATCAGGCACTGATTAACTGAAGCCATGTCCACATTCTATCTAAACAGCAATGGTTCCTGGAATGTCAGCCTTTACTTTTGGACATCAGTAGGTGGGGATGGATCTGTCTGCAGAAACCTGGAGTAACTTTTCATCCCCTCCTGATCTAAAATTACTCTGTATTTTGTCATGGCTGGCTAAATGATAAAAAACTTCTTTTTTTTTTTTACATTTAAATATATGAAAGCTGGTGTACCACTTCCTGTTAGGTATTAAAAAAAATCCCTTAATTGTGTGCTGAAAATTTTTTAATGATATTTATGTGAGATTTTGGAAAGGTGTTCCTAACTTTGCATGCGCAAACAGGCACACAAATGGGCAACAAAAATAGTTTCCACAAACATATTTCCAAAGCTGTCACTCTGTATAATGTATTACAAACTATAAGCTATAATTCTAGTCAATTACTCAGTAATCTGGACGTTTTAACAGTTGATTAATGACATTATTTATCTTTTTTTCTATTTTTGTAAAAGAAAAAAAAAAGATGGCTCCAGAAATATAATTTATTCCCAGAAAGAAAAAAAAAGCAGGGAAAAGACATTAGTCCCTCCTTTTCTTTACCTCATCTATTTCTCTACAGCTTCTTTCAAAGAGGCAGAGTTTGTATAGAATGGAATAAAAATGTGTTTTACCTTATCTGACAGCTTCCACCTGTTCCATGGAAGAAGTGCGGGGAAAACTTTTTTTCCTGAGTGTTTCTGTTTGTGTGCTGAACAAACGGAGTGAACACGCCCTCAGGATCAGTCGCACAGGGGGCAGCCCTCTGCTCAGAGCTCAGCGTGAGAACAAACACAACACACACACACACCCACACACACACACACTCAGTCGTTCTGCCGTCTTAGTGAGGACCATGTGTTGACTCCCATTGATTTTCAGTCATTTTCAACCCTTTCTATGCTTTAACCCTAAAACTAACCCTAAACCTTACCATTACCAATGCATACCTCACCCTAACCCTAACCCATTGGCACATTAGCCCTAACCCTAACCATTAGCAAAATAGCATGTAAGGGCCGTCAAAATGCCCTCACTTTGCAATAACTGGTCCTCAATTTGATGGTGAAACTGGGAAACTTATCCCCATTCTGAGGGCTAGACAGGTGCGCGCACACACACAGACACACACACACACACGGAGCAGTGCGCAAGGGGCTTTAAGAGATGCAAAGCGCATGTGTAGAATGAGTCTGCAGTTCCTCGTGCGTTTGGGATTTTTTTTTTAACACCAGGGGCGGAGCTAGATGGAGGCCCAGGGGCCACCCTTACCCAATCATTGGCCACCCCTGTGGCAATCCCTACCCCCCACCCCCCCACTAATACAGATGGTGGCAGCCGTAATAATCTCAAGCGGAATATTCACAATATTAAAAATCTTAATTTATTAACAATTACTTGACAACAAAAACACTGGCTAATGTGGTTATGCACATCAATATACTATCATTTAAGATGACAAATACAGAATTCATGCTCTTTTGAGAGCTAGATCTTGTCTTATGGGGTAAAGAAAAAATGATGAACGTACTATGCCTCTGATGAATGCTTGCGAGTATGTTTATTTTGCTCTCAGAGGTTTATACATACATTTGACACAATACATTTTCCATAAATCAAAATATGCTCTGAAGAAATTTTAAACAATAAAAAATTTAAATAAGCTAAATAAAAAATACTTGCTAGGTTTGATTCTAACGCTGACATTTTTGGGTAAAAATGTTAGCTCCTGATAATTTTCATAAACATCCAACAGTCATGCACTAATTTCATATATTTAGAAAGATGTAGGCCTAATCTGGGATTTACTGCCACCACGTTGTTTCTTATCATACCATGTCAACATGGGGTATTGAGTAACTGTCTGTTAGGAAAGTTTACATTTGATGAAATCAAGTACTATTGCATCTTCAACGTAATTGTGTTGCTGATGATCCTCTCTTTTTTGATTTGCATTTGTATTGCTTTGATAAATAGGTATCAATCATTTAAATGCAGCTGTGTTATTGTACATGTGCTGTATTGTGAGTGAGCGAAACCTCTTAATGCTACTGAAATCTCTGACAGGTCCAAAAACTCCACATTAGGCTTAGCTGCATATCAAATTATGCATGTGTTAAATGCAAAGGAATGTGATACAGGTACATTACTTAAAACTCAAACTATTGAAATGCAGCACAATAGTGTGAACGAGATATTAGGTCAATACGCTCCTGTATTGTGTTACATCACATTTGATGATCATATTTTAGATAGGCAGAATTGGATTTTCTGGAGTATATCTTTTAAATGCAGTTGTGGTGTCACACGTGTCCATACTGTCCATGGAAACAAGGGTGATCTGCTTAAGATAATAATTTGAGCAATTGCAGGCGCTTATAGATGGAATAACAAACTGCTTAAAGCCCAAGACACAGTAAAAGTTACCTCCCCTCTCCTGATTCAGCAGCACAATGTAACTCAGTTTGGACTGAATTTAAACATTTATGTCATCCAAATACTTTTAATTCTTTATGTCAACATGTGTAAAAATATTACACCACCTAAAGGCCACTGACCGATGAATTAGTTATTATTTCGTCTCTTACTTCTTACTTCTCTTTCCAGACTCAGCATTGTTTTAGACCATGAACACACTGTCATAGATAAAAATATTGCCTAATGACCATGGCCTCTCTCAGCAGCGATAAGGCTCCCTTCTATAAAGCAAATATGGTTTAGTAATGGTCAACATCTTGGTGCCAAATATCACAGAAAACCTTTAGGGAGTTGAGTGGTGAACTAGTCAGGAATTGCAGGAATCCAATAGAGCTCCCATTGTGGAAATGTCTCAGGTCAAAGTAGTTGCTTAAATAAAGTGTATTCTGTATTCTGATATGGATATGTTACATTGTATAATCCTGTTTTAAGTGTGTATAGTATTTTTGCTGTCTAATCACTAAAATCAAAGGTCACAAGCAGAAACAGGAAGAGCTGTGTGCAACTGTTGTCATGTACATAACAAAAACTTTGCATAATGCACTTCCTATTCAAAGGTCTTTCATGTAAGACAGCATATTTAGGTTTTTTAGCTTTACAAACCTTTGAATAATGGCTAAATGTGATCCATATACAGAGAAACAATAGCTACTCACTGCTTATGTTGAGGCAGCATTCTTCAAACGCTTGTCTATAAACCACAAATGTCTGCTTGAAAGGTTTCTAGATTGCACAAACTGGGGAATGGATCATAAAAACTCCAATCATATAGCTGTAGTTTATAGATGTTTTGGGCTGCTACTTTTTTAACTATTGCAGTTAGCTTGCATGTGCACAAATTTTGTTTAAACTTTTTTTTTTTTGCTTATTTGTTCTCCAGAAAAGAAATATGAAAGATAACATAAATGTATTTGCATTAAGGCTTGTGAAAAAACAAAAAATATTCTTTCCTTTTTATTTGTAATTAATTCTATGCTGAAACGTTAAGGAAACCCTGATAAAAACAAAAGGGATATTTGGCAGGCTGATATGACTCACACATACACACACGGATGTTTTGCCAAATAATAAGGTGGAGGTGGGATTTAACTTGTCTGCTTGCAGTTGCACACACCTATTATACAAACAGTGAGTTAGCACACACATACACCTCTGCTCATATGAAAGATTCTGCTTGTTTCAAGTAGAAGGGAAGTCGTAGATTAACTTTATGTGTTTGCTGGACTTCCCTTTTGCACAGCAGAAAATGTTTGCATGTAGGAGGAAGGAGGGGGAGTTAAAAAGAGGCTTGGGTTCACTCCTGTTCTTTGTCAACAGACTTGGAAAAGAGCCACCCTCTGCTAGTTGGGAAAAGCTTTTTGTGTGGGTTTAGTCAAGCCTGCAAAGCCTTGGCACTCTAGCCTCGCTGCCTCTCCCCTGCAGGCCTCCCTCTGTGTACTCCCTCTGCTACACACTGACACCAACTCACAGATACTGTGTAGGGACAGATGAGTGTTATTTATGGCTGTCCAACATCATATCATCCTTTAGGATCATTCCTAGAGAACAATAATGTAGTGCACACTGAACAATGATTAACCAGAGTTTATTCAAGCAAGAACATGACAAAACAGTAAAATTAGCCACTTATTTCCATACCCAGCATAAATATGAATACAGATAGAAATCACCTTGGAGTCAAACAGCCAAAAAGTTAGAAAACCCAAATCACTGGCTATAAGTTTTACTTTTTTTCCAACACTTCTTGAAAAATAAAATAAGAATAAAGGGACACTTATTTAAAATGATAGAGAGGGGAAGTGAGCAGGAGCTAGAAGTTATGTTTGATGAAAAGAAAATGGACTTTCAGCATGGCAGTGGTAACATCACAGTTAGGTATTTCAGTCTGGTGCATTGCAGCCTGGGAATGTGTTTTTAATCACTAAGAAAAATTAACAGTAAAATGAAAAAAACCTGATCAGCTTGTTAACTGATTGTTAAAGCTGCACACAGACGAGATACGTTCTAGAAGCACAAGCATAGTTTTCTCTCAACCAGGATCTTTAGGACACTTTTTCAGAATATTATGAACTTTTTTTCTGCTGCAAGAAACTAAATTTAAAAAGTGAATAACTTCTATTACTTTGATCGCTAAACGGCTGTGCTAAAGTGGAGAATAGGATTGCCAGGATTAGAAATTAGTGAATAAATATCTAGGATAGGTTTTAAAGTGACCGTCAAGCTTTTTTTCTGGCCTACTGTCTGCGCAAATTATGTTGTCCCTCTCTATAGCTGTGCTGCAATATTCACCACACATTTGAACTCAATGGTTGATGGTAATTACTAGTAAATATATATGATCAAAATCGATGGATTAAAAACAAGCATCCCATAAGGGTTTATGTAGAGCACCAAACCAAAAATGACAGGAGCTCAGAAAAAAAAAAAAACTTCTTGTCGTCATTGCTGGATGAGTCACCACTCTGCTGCTGCTGCTGTCCTCCATCCTGTCTGATCGCCCTTCAAACATCTTGTCCTCACTGTGTCTGCTCACTGTACAAAGACAGAACAATTTGCAGGCAGACTGAAAGTGTTTGTCACCAGCCAGAGAATAAAATGCAGGTCTGAGAGACTCAAAGTGAATTGTAGTGCCTTACAGAAGGATTAGTAAGTTTTGAGCCTTTCCACATTTCAGTGTGTCATTTCATTTTTATGTTAGAGGCTAACACAAGTTAGAATAGAATTATGAATTTGAAGAAATAATCTATAGATGTACAAATATGCTTTAATCTAAACCATCCCTCCTTTATAGGTTTTTGAATGTTGTTTCATGTTGCTGTCCTATGACCAAACCACCTGCACTGCTGATGTGTACTCTTCATTACTAATGATGAATAGGAGTTCTTTTGGCTTTCTATTAACAATGACCTTTACCTCGCTGATTTTCTAGTGGGTGAGCCAAAGTTGTAAAACAGTATTGGGTCTACCATTGTGACATGTTCTTTTCATTTTCAGACAAATTACTCAAAACCGATCTTTGAGACATTCAAAGCTTGAAATATGATGTAATATTGCAATCTATATTCAAACCTCACCAAATCAATGATCTGTCTGCTCTGTCTCCTACTGTTCACTAATGTTCTTTCCAACCTTTCCTTTGACCTCACAAATATGCACTGCTTTGTCTTAATCTATCACATTAAACCTAAAAAAAGGACACTACCTAATAAAAAATGAAACAAAAAAATAAATAAACTTCAGGGGAATTAAGTAGTTTTAAAAGGAACTTCCCTTTGCAAAATACAGTGCATATTCTTCACACCTGCCACC